GAACAGCTCCTGAGGAAGTTGATTTCTGGTCTCTATATGCACACATACACACAGAAATTATCCTAATCAGGGGAGGACAAGTAGACAGGGACAGTTTAGCAAGGTCAGCCACTTTAAACAACACCAAATGTTGTGTCAGAATCAAGCTTACTCTTTAAGAGAATAGACACTTTGGTCAACAGATCTTGGAGCCTAATTCTCCAGATAATAAGTCTGCATGGTCAGCTGGAGTCACATGGAAACCCCTGGTACTACAGAGACAGTAAACCCAAGCCTTCTAGCAGTCTCTGATCTTGACAAGGCTTTTGAGTGAAAAAACAATCTTAGAAGTAAGTGGCTCTTCCCACCATAGTCATCTTGGCTGTCAACATGCACCAGGTGAGTCCTCTTCTATCTCCACATTCATATAACTGTAAAAAAGCTGGGTATGGTGGTGCTTCTCTAGAATTCTAGCACTCCAGATGTAGAAGAAGGAGGATCACACTAACTTCAGCCTGGTCTACATATCAAGACCCAGACTCAAAATACGCACACGCACGCACGCACGCACGCACGCACGCACGCACGCACGCACACACACACACACACACACACACACACACTCCTGTCAAGAGATTAAATAGTTACATTAAGCAAGTTTGATTTGAGGGAGTTTGTGGTGTTGATGCAAGGCTGAACTGGAGTTCAACTTATGTTTTCGAGCCAGTGAGCAACAGAACACTGAGAGCTTCATGAGGGGCATTTTGTGCCAGGAAATCCAGCAAACAAGAACCCATCAAGCCTAAATTAGTGATAATGGTATATAAGGGGAGGGGACACAAGATACTGAGTACAGAATTAGATTTGGTGGGATTTTGAATATAATTGGCTATGAGGCTAAGCGAAAGAAAGGAGTCTAAGTTGACCTAGATGGTGAGATCAGGTGGCTGAAGAATGGCGAAGCTATTAACAAGATGAGTTCAGAATAAGAAAATTTAGTGTTAATTTTAATATACAGAAAATGAAATAAGGTATAACATCCATGTTTACAAATATTAAGTGTGCAGATAACAAAGAATCTATAAGTCCTATTATCAGTATTTTTTTTTCCTATTCTAGGACTCACACCAAAAATTAAATTCACAATCCTCTGGTTGGTTAGAAACATTTTTTTAAGTTTTATTTTTTATTTTAATCTTATGCACACAAATGTATGTATGTGCGCTATGTGTGTGCCCAGTGCCTAACAGAGGCCAAAAGGAGGCACTGAAACTTGAGTTACAGGTGTTTATGAGGCCCCACATGGGTGCTGGGAACCAAATCCAGATCTTCTGCAAGAGCAGCTCTTTAATAGCTGAGAAATTCTTTCCAGCCCCAAAAGTTAGCTAAAGATTTTAACCCTAAGGGCTCATAGTGCTGCCTGACATCCTGGAAGCAGAGTTCATGAGTACCACATAATCCTGGAATGGTGCTGTAGACCTTTGATTCCAGCACTCAGAAAAGGTAGAATGGACAGGTAAGATCATCCTGAGTTACATAGTGAGTTTGAGGCCAGCCTACATTACAAAAAAATGTTTTAGAAAAAATTAACATAAAATGTTAAGATTTTTCTCAACTGTTAGAAAACTGATTCTGAAATGAGGGCAGGTATAAGTAACCACACCGTCACTCACATTTTCAATTTGCTTTTGGTGATGGGGCACAGTGATAGGAACTGAACCCAGGGCCTGGCAGGTGCTAAGTACCATACTCCTGAGCTACAGCCCTAGTCCTCAAAGATCTTACAAATCAACTGTCTAGGAGCTTATAACATGTTGCTTCTGGCTTTTTGCTCAAGTACTGACTTCTAGGCTCTACACTTTGACCTATTCAGAACTTAGGGTTTGTTTTTGTTTGTTTTCTTTTCCAGACTGGGTCTCACTAAGTAGCTCTGGCTGACCTGGAACTCGCTATGTAGACTACACTGGCTTCTGTTGGGATTAAAGGCATGTACCATCACACCCGGCTGTTTTTCAAATTATAGTGTCACCATGACAGAACCCAACTTCTTACCACAGTATACAAAACATGTTTCATCAAGCATCTGCTGAACCAATTAGTGTCACCTGATCAGTTTTTTTCCTCATTCTCTAGCAACAATGACTTGGTTCCTTGATCTTGCCAAACTTTCTTTCTCAGGCTCTTTGTGATATTGCCTCTTTGGCCAAATTACCTCTGTGTATCCCTCAATTCTCTACGTCCTCAGAGAAAAACCTTTCCTGACTATCCTTTAAGTGTCCCTGCCCCATGTTCATTCAAAAAACATCCCTCAATTTCTTAACTACTACAGACTAACTTCAACGATTTAGGAAATTATACTTAATGTTAACCTCTTCTGCTGGAACTTAAGTTCCAAATGCACAAGACCATCTTATTCAATACTTCCAAAGCCTGGGGACAAGGACAATTGCCAGGCACCAAGAAGCTGGTCTAAAAGCACATTTTGAATAGCATTAACAAGGTAAAGCAGGATAACTAGAGGCAAGAACTGTACAATCAAATGAGTTCCAGATACAGCTCTGAACCTTATTCCCTTTGTATCACTATTTTTCAGAAACTCCCTTCACACACACACACACACACACACACACACACACACACACACAGTAGAGAACACTCATTGACAGGACTAAGAAGAGTGATATGGAAAATGTTTAGTTATATATGTAGCACTTAGCATCAAGTTTTGTACAGATAAGGCTGGTGAGTTAGCATAATAGGTTAAGGTTACTTGCTAAATCTGACAGCCTGAGTTGAATGCCTGGAACCTATATGTGGAAGAGAACTGATTTCCAAAGGTTGTCCTCTGACCATTGTAATACAAACTTAAAAAGTCTTATTAATAAAAAGCAAAAAACGAAACCTAGAGCCAGATATTGGGTGAAAGCTGAAAGATCAGAGAAACAGAACAAGCCACAGCTAACCTCACCTTGCCAACTCCTCAGCTGATTCTGTTGCCAGGAATCCTAAGACTGAAAGCCTCTGAGTCCTCACCCTTGAGGGTCTCAGCTGAACTGCTGCTTAGTTCCTATCTCCTCACGCCTTATATACCGTTCTCCACCCAGCCATGTTACTTTTGGGATTAAGGGCTTGTGTGCTTTCTAAGCAAAAGCATGAGATCTCAAGTGCTGGGATTAAAGGCATGTGCCACCACTGCCTGATTCTGTTCCCAGTGTGACCTTGAACTCACAGAGATCCAGAGGGATCTCTGCCTCCCAAGTGATAGGATTAAGGGTGTGTGCCACCACTGTCTGGCCTCTTATGTATGATCTAGTGGCTGGCTCTATCCTCTGATCCCCAGATAAGTTTACTAGGGTACACAATATATCACCACAGACCATTAAGCGTAAGTGCCCATATAACATACTAAAAGCACATGCCTTTAATCCCAGCACTCACTCAGGAGGTAGAGGCAGGCCAGCCTGGTCTACAGAGTGCGTTCCAGGACAGCCAGGGATACACAGAGAAACCATGTCTCAACAACAACAACAAAAAAAGTTTTGTACACATGAAGTGATGAAAATAGGAGAATTCATTATGTCTGGAAAGGTCTAGAATACAGTAAACACAGGAAGCAGTAGTTCACACTGTAGTTAGTAAACATTCTCTCACCAGATTTCATAAACTTTCAATCTCCCTGAGCTACTTTATTAGATTTCTCTTCAAGATCTTTTTATTAGCTGCTCTTGTCCTTTTTTAGATGAAAAATCTCAAGTCCCTAAAGCAAAAGGGTTCAAGGGGGTGTCCAAAATCCAGGCTCAAGATCCTCCACCATTTCATGAAGTTCATCACCCTTTTCTACACCCTAGGCTGTTAATTTGGATTCAAACAGAATGCAAAGCTTGGTTATTTCTTAATCTGGATAAACTAACTAAACTGAGATGAAGTCACAAAAATACTGTTCCCTTGGGGTTGGGGATTTAGCTCAGTGGTACAGCACTTGCCTAGCAAGCGCAAGGCCCTGGGTTCGGTCCTCAGCTCTGGGGGGGGTGGGGAGGATACTGTTCCCTGCCAGGCATGGTGGGGCACGCCTTTAATCCCAGAACTTGGAAGGCAGAGACAGGCAGATTTCTGTGAGTTCTAGGCCAGCCTGGTCTACAAATCAAGTTCCTGGACAGCTAGAAACAAAACATTGTTCCTCCCTTCCTCCTAGCAAGGGCAGTCACAAGCCCCTTCTCGGAATATGTTAAATATCAAGCAGATGCAGCTTTCAAAAGGTCACCATCCACGATGGGGGTGAAACTTTACCCTGATGCAGATGTTTGGGGGTTCCCAGGCTCTTATGTATAATTCTTCACCCTTGCTCAGTAAGTAAGCCCAATAATCATTAGTCTCACCCAAGCAAACCAACCAAAACAAACAAAAAAACCCATCAAGGGGTATGTGTGGCACTCATGCTCAGGGGCAACCAGATATCTGAGTTCCAGGCCAACAAGGCCTACAGGAAAAAAAAAAAAAAAGACCGGGGGGTGGGGGTGAGGGGTGGGGTCGCGGCCACGCACGCCTTTAATCCCAGCACTTGGGAGACAGAGCTGTGAGCTTGAGGCCAGCCTGGTCTACAGAGTGAGATCAGGCACCAAAACTACACAGAGAAACCCTGTCTCGAAAAACCGAAGGGAAGAAAAAAAAAGATAGTAGTAGTAGTAGTAGTAATAATAATAATAATAATAAAAAGGGACTTGGTGGCCTACACCTTTAATCTTATCACTCCCAAGGCAGAGGTATGTGAATTCCTATGAGTTCCAGGCTAGCCTCGGTTATGCAGTGAGACTCTTAAAAGAAAATTAAAAAGAGAAAAAAACCAAACCCCAGCTGGGAAACGGCTACCAAGGCACTTAACACAATGGAGGAGAGGGTCCCAGGTCACGGCACCCTTTGGATAAGCAGGGAGTTTGAGATCACAAGGGACCGCCTCGTCCACTCGAGCGTGGATCTGGACGCTCGCCCAGCGTGCCACGCGCCACGGGAGCGCTCTCTCTCACCCTGCAGCACCAGGGCCGTGCGTCCCCTCGCTCCGGAGCGCTGGCTGGGCTGACAGGCATCAACTCGGAATCGAAGGGGCCCAAAACTAGCTCCGGCTGGAGTTCCAAGTCCTCCGCCTCTTCCGCTTTACCAGGCCGCGGTGCGGAGCGCGGCCACCAAAGCGAGAGCCCCCAGCGAACGGTCTCTCAGCGGCTCGTCGCCCCCCGCGCAGCAGGCCGGCCTGAGAAACTTCCTCAAGTGGCGGGAGAAGAGCCGTCTGGCCAGCGGTCGCCTCCGTCGCTCCCCTCCCGACACTCCCTGCGCGGTGCCCCAGGCCCCCGGGCCGTGCGAGCGCGTCCCCCTCAGCCCCCGCCCCCACCCCAGTGGCGCCCTGGCGGGAGGCCACTCTCCTCACTCGACCCGAGGCCCGGGGAGCCCACGCGCGCGCGCGCCCGCCACGTACTCGCCACGCAACTATCCCGGCTCCGCGAGCGCGCCTCGGCGCCCGGAGTTCGGTCTCAAGTCACCTGAAGAAGCCGCTTGAAAAGCTTCGTCCCCGCAACAGCCGCGCCGCCGCTGCCGCCGCCGCCGCCGCCACCGCCGAGGCCGCTACTGCGCTCCTTCCGGCCTCGCCACGGCGTCCACCTCGCGCCTGCGCGCAGCGCCCCCTCCCGACTAATGACAGGAAGAACCATAGAGGCAGGCGAAAGGCCGGAGAGGAGGGGCCTAGAGAGCGGGACCATAGAGATAGTTGCCTAGCGGGCCTCCATCTGGGCACCACAGCTACAGAACCTTGACTCCCCCTTGCGGCGGGAGAACAAAAGAACAGCAGAACCCCCAAGGCCATTGTCTCCTCTTAAAGCTTGGAGGACCAGCTGACCATGGAATCAACTGATTAATCACTTACCTGTCCCCTCATGAGGTGTTTCTGTTTATAATGTGAGACATGTAAAACTCTCCTCCCGAGGGTATTTGCTGAAGAATAAAGCATTTTTTTTCTCTCTGTAGTTTTGGTGCCTGTCCTGGATCTTACTCTGTAGTCCAGCCTGGCCTCAAACTCACAGAGACCCACCTAGATCTGCCTCCTAGATCCCTCCCTAGAGTGCTGGGATCAAAGGTGTGCTAACACTGCTTGGTTGAATAAAGCATTCTTAAATTCTATTCAAACTCTGTTAAATAAAGGCTGGTGTTAAATAAAGGCTGGAGAGCTGGCTCAGTGGTTAAGAGCACTGACCCGGATAGAATTTCTAGTACCCACCTTGCAACTCACAATGGTCTGTAAATTCAGTTCCAGAAGATCGGACGACCTCTTCTGGTGTCTGTGGGCACCAGGCATGCAAGTGATGCAGAGATAAACATGCAGGCAAAACACCCATACATGGGGCTGGAGAGATGGCTCAGAGGTTAAGAGCACCCACTGCTCTTGCAGAGGTCCTGAGTTCAATTCCCAGCACCCACATGGTGGCTCACAACCTTCTGTAATGAGATCTGGTGCCTTCTTCTGTATATATAATAAATAAATAAATCTTTAAAAAAAAGACACCCATACACATAAAAGTAAAGAAAAAGAAATTAATTTTTTTCCCACTGCAGGGCATAGGAGAGTGCTGGAGGAGAGTCACGAGCCATAGTTACCTTTTTAGAGCTTTATTGGGAGAGAGAGGAGGAGAGAGAGGGAGGGAGGAAGGGAGGGAGGGAAGGAGGGAGAGAGAGAGAGAGAGAGAGAGAGAGAGAGAGAGAGAGAGAGAGAGAGACCGATGGGAGGAAGGAGCGGAAAGGAGAGGGGCACACAGAGGGCCCACCCGCTTTTTAGGCTGGGATGCCATCGAAGGCTGATGATGTAATTAAGGACAGAATCCTTACACTGGGGAGGCAGAGGCAGGAGGATCTCTGTAAGTTCAAGGAGGCCAGCCTGGTCTACAGAGAGATTTCCAGGACAACCAAGGTTAAACAGAGAAACCCTGTCTCAAAAAATTTTTTTTCATGAAAAAACCTTATAAGTCACTGTATTTTGTTTTGTTTGGCTTTGGTATGTTTTAATTTGTTTTTAAATTGTGATTGTGTGGAGGGGCCCCAAAATAGCTTGACCACACAGTAGCCATGACAGGCTTAGGGGCCTAGACATACCTTCTGTGACAGGTTTACTGGCAGGCAACACCCAGATCCAGGAAAAGCCTAACGTTAATACCACCCAGGGATCCACCCAGGGGTGAGGAAGTACCTGACATCCCAACATTCCAACCATTAGATAAGGTGGCCAGGTGTCCTTGAGTCTATCACACACCTATTTTTTGTTTTACAGATACACCTAGACAATTGTCAGCCAATCATTGTCCTAGACCCCCGGAAATGCCCTCACCCCAACCTCTGCTAAGATAAAAACTCTGCCTCACCTGAGCTCAGGGCTCTCTGCTCTCACCACTGTGTCGGACAGACAGAGAGACCAAGCTCTGGCGCTTAAAATAAAGACTCTTTACTTTTACATGTGGGATTTGGTCTCTATGGTGGTCTTTTGGGGGTCCCCGTGACCTGGGCATAACAAATGTGTGCATGTGTGTATGTATGTGTGTAAATGTGTGATGTACAAGGGCAGATGACTTCAGAGTCTAGAAGAGGCCATCAGATCCCCTAGAGCTAGTTCTGAGTTGTGAGGTACGCATGCTAAAAATGGAACTCTGGTCCTCTGATAGAACTGCAAGCACTCTTTTTGGTTTTTCCAGATAGGGTTTCTCTGTGTAGTTTTGCGCCTTTCCTGGAACTCACTCTGTAGCCCAGGCTGGCCTTGACTCACAGAGATCCACCTGGCTCTGCCTTCCAAGTGCTGGGATTAAAGGTGTGCGCCACCACTGCCTGGCCTGTTTTGGGTTTTATTAGTGTGATCATGTGTGTGTGGGTGCATGCATACTGCTGAGATTAAACCCCTGGTCTCATACATGCTAGACAAGCTGTCAATCACTGAATTACATTTTCAGCACTCCCCTCTTTTTTTTTTTTTTACTTTTATTTAAATTTTGAGATAAGAGCTTACTAGGTTATTTAGGATGGCTTTGAACTCACTACATAGCTTAGCCTGACCTTAAACTTATGATCTTGTTGGGAAGTCCAAAGGCCAGAAGGTACTGTGGATCAGGAGAAAAACTACTTACTGAATCATAAAATAGTAGAAGGCATTGCATTGTCAAAAAGAGTATGTGTGTTAGCTTGGGAGTCTCTTCCTATTTATAAAGCCACTAATGTCATTGTGAGACCCTCCCCCCCTCATGACTTCAGAACCTCAAAAGCTCCATTTCCAAATGCCAATAGCAAGCATACAGAACCAAGGAGTAAGTTTCAATACATGAACTTTTAGGGGGCATAGTCAGACCATATCAGAAGAGAAGGTCAGATGGCAGAGGCACAAGGAGGAGGGTAATAGAGCCTATTGGTCATGCTTGTAGGATTCAGTTGTTAACATTATTATTGTTATTGTTTTGACAGCACTATAGGTATGTGCCATCACAACTGAGGGTGAGATTCCGGAATAACCTGGGAGAAGAAAACAAGGGTGGTTAAGCCAAGTATGGTGGCACATATATTGTGTGACAAAACTTTTCCTGGAGAGATGCAACACACATGTCTACTCACCCCTGATAGGGAACCCATGACCCAAGTATAGATACCACCAAGGTCCAACTTGCTGAACCAATGGGTTTTATTGGGGTTACTTATGGGAATATGGGTGAGGGGTTACTTACAAGAGTAGAAATGATCCAAAGACAGCTGCATCACCAAAGTTCACTCCCGCATGGGTTGTCACCCATGCTCACAAAAGCTGGGGACCTGGAGCACAATGTACATCCTGCAGGCAGCTCAACAGGTTGGAGCATGTCCCTTTCAGGTGTCTCAGTTGGTTTAAACCTCTTCCAGGGAGAGCTCAGCTAGTTTCTGTTTCTTCCAACTCACAAAAGCTAGGGACCTGGAGCACACTACACAGCCTGTAGGCAGCTCAACAGGTTGGAGCATGTCCCTTCCAGGTGTCTCTGCTGGTTCAAACTTCTTCCAGGGAATGCAGCTGATTTCTGCTTCTTTCAGGAAGCAGGTTGGGTTTCAAGTCTTTATTGTACCTTTACTCATCCGAGGGTCTTCTTTGCAGCTTGGCTCTATTCTCCTGAGAGGGACTTTCAGCTTTTATTGTTTACTCTGGTAGGGAGGGACCTAGTGAATCTGATCAGTTTCGGGGACTTCTTGAAGCTCTTTTGAGTTGTTTACCTACCTTTTTAAGGAGCTTCTCTGCAGGATAGAGACTATTTCAATCTAGGAAGAAACTTAACATACATGTAAACTTAACTTAACTTAACATACATGTAAACTCAGCACTCTGGAGCAGAAGTTAAGAGCGTTCCCACCAGCTAAAAGACTAGCCTGGTTCACAGGGAGTTCTAGGACAGTCAGGGTTACAGAGTGAGACTGTCTGAAAAGGGCCAACCAACCAACAGATCAAACAAACAAAACCCACAAAACAAACAAACAAATAAACACCCCAAAGGTATGTTACTCAGTTTTTGGTTGCTATAACAAAATACCTGAGAGAATCCGCTTACAAAGAGAAAAAGTTAATATGGGCTTTCAGTTTTCCAGGTTCTAGTCCAAGATCAGGCCAATCATATCCTTGGTCTCTGATTGGTAATCCAAATGACAATGGTGGGGAGCACATGACAGAGCAAATTGCTTACCTCATGGCCAGGAAACAAAAAAGAAAGAGGGAAATGATGAAGTCCTCACAATCTCCTTTGGGGCATGCCCTCGATGACCCACACACCTCTGACTAGGCTCCACCTCCTAAAGGGCCCACCACCTCTGTGATGTTTATGTTCATTGGCAACCTGTCAGGGTCTATAATCATCTAGGAGACGAGTCTCTGGGCATGCCTATGAGACATCATGTAGATTAGGTTAGCTTCTATTAATGTCTGTGAGAAATTGTCTAGATTAGGTTCATTGAGTGGGGAAGAGCCACGCAGATTTCACAAATAGCAGGAAGCCAGGGGAGTGCCTGCCTTTATCTCTCTTTGCTCACTGACTGTGGATGCAAAGTGACCACACACTCCAGCTACCATGCACCATCATAGACTGTACCCTCAAACTGTAAGTCAGCCTCTTTCTGGGGCTAGAGTGAATGGCTC